GGGAGTGCTGGATGCTGGGGTCAGAAAGCCCGGAAGAGCCTGCAGCTGGCCCTCGTCTCAGCTCTCCCTTATGTCGTGTTTTGTTGGAAAATCCATTCTGCAGATCCAGCTGGACCCTGGTTGACGCAGATCTGATGCCCCCTTCCTGCCTCTTCTGCTCCTCTTGGGCCTGAAGGGGGGGAGGCAGGACTGGAGCGGTCAGCCTGGCTGGGGCTTGTGCTGCAGGGAGAGAGCCCACCTCCCTGCTCTGTCCCCTGCTCAGCCCCCTACCCGACCCCTGCCTGGAGGATAACCGTCTCCAGCTCCTTGCCCAGGGTCCAACGACATCCGTGCCCCAGCTCTGGGCACCCACTCACTGTCCCTACCACGGCCCTGAAGCCCCAGAACAGCACCCAGGCATGCCCGTCCATCCCCCAGATCACGGGCAGAGGGCCAGGGCAGTTCCTGACGGGCTCATCAGAGGACCAGAGTCGGGGCAGCCTTGATGGCGGTGAGGTAGCTGGGCACCGGCCTGGGGTGGGGGCCTGGGGCCGGGCCTGCAGTCTGACCTTCTCCCACCCCGCTCAGCTCTGTTCCTGGGCCCAGGGAGCAGCCTCTTGGCGCCTGAGCCAAGGGTTCATTTTTTTCTCCCAGAGCAAGGACCACAAGTGGGGCGCACCCACGCGCGCGCCTCAGCCCTGCCCGTGGGGCTGGCACAGGAATCGATCCGTTTACTGCTTCACGGCCGTGATCACGCTCTAAAGGGTCCGTCCTCCACCGATCAGCGTCTCTGGCTCACGCCTCGGGCTTACACACGTGTGCACAAGCACACACGGGCGCGCGTGCTCCCTTTGGGCCCCACCTGCTTCCTGAAGGGTTATTCTGCATCCGCAGACTGGTTTATTCCACATAAGTTTGTGGATAAGATTGTTGACTTTGCTAACATGAAGGGCTGGGACCTGGACGGGGATGGCCACGAGCTTCCGTGTTGACCTGGAGGGTGCGTTTTACGCATCAGACCTGTATAATTTCCTGTATGACGGACCCCACGAACACAGACCCGCGCTGCTCGCTGCCTGGGCCTGCCACGGGGGCTGTGCGGGGCCGCTCACGGAGCATGCGCGGTGGGTGCGCGGTCTGTTCAACAGGAAGCAGGGGAGCGGGTGCACCCGAGCTCAGAAAACGGGGTGGGGGGGGGGAGAGGGCGGAGAGCACCGAATGGGGCCACCAGCCCCGCACAACACCCGTCAGACTGTTGTCTGGTGACCATTGGCTGTGTCTCTTCCAGCCAGTGGGTCACAGATGTTTGGGAGCTGTGGGCAAAGCCCTCGGTGGGAACCAGCTCTGACCTGGAGGCTGTGGGTCAAGGCCCCTGTGCCCACAGCCTCAGCAGTCACCTCTCACCCTGTGCTCTCAACTGTGGCTGTAGCCTTATTTTACAGTTGCTGAAACATGGTGGGGAGGGGAGGGAATTGCCCTCTCAGACCGCAGTGGAGGGTGAAGACACGCCCTCTGCCTCATGCCCTGATTCTGGGCCCTGCCAAGGGGCTGCTCTGCGCACGCCAGACCAGGTCAGGGCAGAGCTGCCTCCCCGCCGCCTTCTCTGCAGCCCCCGTCTACTTCTGGCTGTGCCCGAGACCCGAGGAGCCACACTGACCGCCCCTCCCCGCACACCCACACCCCACTGTCTGCAAAAGGGTGGCTCTCTTCTTCAGATGCACCCACAATCCACCCCTTCCCGTAAGTCCAGCCACCTTAGCTCTCACGGGGCCCCTCAGTGGCCAAGGGTGCAGGCAGGCAGCTGCTCTGGCTGTGGGGAGACAAGGGGCTCCTGCCCCCAGGGGCTGAATAGGCACTGGGCAGGCCTGTGGAGGGGGTCCACAGGACTTGGAGGGGGGCACAGGGGGCATGGGGTCTGACTTGGGCTCTGAGCCCATGGGGGCTGCTCCAGAAGGCAGTGGTGTGTCTCAGGGGCTGGAGTCTTCCAGGGGGGCACTGGGGTTTGCTGGCTCCCAAGGACCTGCCCTCCAGACAGATGGGCTGCGTGGCATTTGGTAGGGAAGCAGGCTCCACCTGCTGGGTGGGGCTAGGTCTTGGGCACATTGAGGCAGGGGCCCTTATGGAGTCGGCCTCCCAGCCAGCATCAGGTCAGGGGAGGCAGGACTGGAGGCAAGGGGATGGGGGAGGTTCCGCTCTAAAGACGTGAGGGTGATGGGAGGCTCCAGGGTGAACCCTAGGGAGGGGTCTCCAGGCCCAGAACCCTCACTGGACAGCAGGTGCAGTCGGGCAGGTAGCCATCCCACCATCCCCCTCATGAGATGGCCCGGGGCACTGCTGGCTTGGCGTCCTGCCCATGGGTTGGCTGGGGCCCAGGAGTCTGTCCATGTGCCCACAGAGTAGCCAGTCCATTGCCCCAGGCGGCTGCCCTCAGGCCCTCTATGGAGACAGGAGAGTCTCAGGAGAAGCCTGCCAGCAGGTGGGGAGGGAGCCCGCGGGGGGAGCCCTGGGGCACCCAGGCCTCTGTTTGTGCTTCGGGGTGGAAGTGCAGCGGATGCTGGGCCTTGACCCCCAGGCTCACCACCAGTGTGCATGAGAGGACATTTCAGAGCCCATTCCCAGGAAGCTACGCAGGAGGTGCCTCAGCAAAATGAAGGTGTAAATCTAAAAAGAGGGAGACCTGGGGCCAGGAGATAGGGCAGCCAGCTCAGGTCGGTCCCTGCAAGGAGCTGTACCTCTGGCCTGAGCACGCACTGGCTCACTCGGTCAGCAAACGCCAGCAGAGAGCATTCAGCAGGGATGGGGGGGGGGTGCCGCCTTCCTGAAACTCACATTCTGAGAAGGGGCTTAGACCACAGGAGGTCTCCGAGTCAAAATGTAAAGTGTGGTCTCAGCTCTGACGTGCAAAGAGCTTAGAAGTCATTCCTATCCTTACACCAAGAAAACAGCCAAAACACTGAAAAATCAACTTTCCTTGGATCCTCACAGAACCAGGTCTCAGGGTGAACCACCACACTGACCACTCAGCCTGGCTGGGCAGCCCCCTGGAACAGAAGCCACTGGAGCAAGGCCGGACGTGCAGACAGCAGGAGCCCAAGGGACCGGCGCTGCAGGGAAGCACACGCCGCCGCCTGCCGCCAGTGGCTGACCCCATCCTGAGCAGGACCGCGAGCATCCCCCTCACGTGTCCGCCCTGCAGCAGCCTGCCCCTGCGTGCGGAGATCCACTGTGGGGTGGAAATGCACCAAAAATGGACAATTCTGGCCACTTTTCCTTTTAAGGGTTTGTAATCAGAATTACCGCAATCTTAGAAAATGGAAGTTTGTGTGAACCTAGAGTATTTATTTCTTGAATATCTGTTGACTAACCATTGAAGCCGCTGAGATTGGTAAATTCTTCAAGGGCAGACCAGGGTCAATTCTTCAAGGTCACGGAGCTCTTCAGACCTTTCACACCTGTCACTTTGGGCACATGGCTTCTTCAGTCACTCTGGACGTCCAGCATAAAGGTGGTCACTATAGCCTGCCATCTTAATGCCCTCAGGGGCTGGACTGGCAGCCTCCCTCCCTCACTCCTGGCACTTCTTTGATTTATCCCAACAGTTTTGTCTGATTTACTTATTTTTGCAAAGAAACAACTGTGAATTTGCCGATTCTGTCTGCTCTGTCTTCTGTTTAATGCCAGTCATGTTATTACTTCCGTCCACCTATGACTTTGTCATTCTTTTTCCACTTGCTTAAGATACACATCAATTTATCTCACTTTAGTCCTATCTTTTCTGCTATTCATACTTCAGTGTCCCAGTTTTCTTCTAAGTTAATTACTTTAGCTATTTCCCGGTTTTTACATGTTGTATTTTCACTGTCATTCAGGATATAGGGGGAAACAGTTGAAGACAGAACAGCTGAGAACTTTCCAGGATTGAGGAAAAATATGAATTCACCAACTATGAAGCATAGAGTTCTGGAAATGACAGATACAGACACGACGTGGACACATGCCAGTGACTGAGGATCTGGAAGCAGCCACAGGGCAGAGAGCCCCCGGGACAGGGCCAGGAAGATGATAGAATGCTACTTGGAGAGGTAACCACTCACCTGGAGTTGCGTGCCCTGCAAAATGCAGCTCAGGTGTGTGGGCAAACCCAGGCACTTTCCCCAGAAGTTCCCCATGAGCCGGTGTTAGCAGACTGCTTGCTCCTAGCAGAACTGTGTTGGAGCCCGTGAAGGGTGGGCTTCAGGAGGTGCAGATAGGGGAGCAGAGCCAGGGAACCTGGGACATGCCCCCAGGCACCCAGTCGTGGACTGAGAGACCCGGGCTGGGGACAGTGTGAGCCTTCAGGGCAGAAGCCCTGGCTCTGCCCTCATTCAGGCCCCTGTCCAGCAGGACAGGTGGGTGAGCAAGCACGGCCATGAGTCAGGAACACACACCGGAGGGCAGAGGCCAGGAGCAGCTCACCACGTCTGGCCTGGCGGCCCTGTGCAGGGCAGGGGTGCAGGGCTGAGGGCTCCGTGTGGAATCTTGGCAGCATCCTGGGGGCCACAAGGGCCGGGGGTAGGGGCTCTAAATAGGGGAGCAAGGTGATCCTATGTGGTTGGGGCTGCTGGCAGGGCTCCCACGGAAGCCAGCAGCTGTGGTCTGACTAGGACAAGTCAGTTTGGCCCCAAGCTGTGACAGGTGGCAAGGGATGTGTGCTGGGTTGCATATGTAAGTCAAGGACCCATCTCGCACCTGCTTCCAGCTCCTATGTGCAGAAGCTTTGGTGCCGGCTCCGCCCTGGGTCACAGGCTGCCTGAGGGAGCAGCACCAGGAAGGGGGGCCAGTGCTCCGACCCGTGCCGGTGCTCACGCGTCCCTCCTTCAGCAGCCTGAGCCAGGACCCTCAGCCCCACTTAGACGTAGGGTCCCAGGGACTACTGCCCCCCGGCTCTCCGCAGGGCTTGCTCCAGCCCCCCAGGCCACCGAGCCAGGACTGAGATCCGCCAGTTTCCCCGTGAGAGGAAACCAAATTAGACGCTGGGCATGCAGGCTCTTTCTGGGAATTTTATTTCTTTAAAATAATTCATACAAATGGTTACAGTCACAAACATGATTTTAACCAAAATGCTGCTAGCTACCACATCAGCAGGACGGCACCCGCGGGCCAGGTCGCCGTGCCCCGCGCCCCAGGACAGACGCCGACGGCCAAGGTACACCACGGGCTGTTTGCGCTCCCCTCTTCCAGCCGCTTTGCAGTGCCGTCTTCACTGGAACAAGGGGTTCATGCCAAACTTAGGAAAAACAGCCGTTGTTTTGTTTTTCTAAATTATTCTAAAAATAAGCAGGTAGAAAAAACAATGCACTGTGTGGCGTACAAAGAAAAACGGGGAGGGGTCGTTGTCCTGAGAAGTTTGCCAACTGCCTCGTTCTGGGGCGCGTTCCAACACAGACGACTGGCTGAACGCTCCCTCGGGTTCTCTCTTTGTTGACAGATAAGCAAACAAATCCTCTGTGATGTTCTAAAGACGGTACACAGACAAGAATGTTCATGACGGATTAACTACTAATTCTTTTGCTTAACGAGGACACAAAGGACCCGGCGGCAGCCAGCCCTCAGGACGGGACAACTAGTGGACGCGGGGGAGGCTCGGTCGCCTCTTGCCCGCCTCGCGCCTGGACAGTCTGCAGCCCGTGGCCACCAGCTCTGCACACGCCTGCCCGAGGGCGCTGCCCGCCTGCGCCGCGGCCGCAGAGCTCCGCCCCAGCTACAACTGGTCGCTTGCATGGTCTCTATCTGCCTCGGGCTTGACGGTTTGGCCAGGAGAAGGGGCATGGGGTGGGTGGGACACGGGGGGCAGGCCATGGGACAGGGACATGGCGCTGGGGACAATGCCTTCCACTGCAGCCGGGATGCCGCTGGGGGCCACGCCCACCACGCCTGGAGGGTACCTGCTGGGAGAGGAAGGAGGCACATGAGGCTGCTGGGAGGGAGCCCTGCTCCTGCAGGCTGCCTGCTTCGGGGGACCCCACAGGGCCCCGCTGCCCCACCCACACCCCATCCCTGGGCCCCAGAGTGGCCTCCACCCAGAGGGGTGTCCACAGGAGCCCACATGAGTGGGTGTGTCCAGGCCCAGAGCCTGCCCAGCCCTAAGGGAGGCGCCCCAACTCACAGCCCTGGCACACCCACTCACCTGTAGGCGGCCCCATTGAGTTCGGGGTGCACAACGGCTGGGTCCATGCTGGCCCAGTGGGTGGCGGCTGTCAGGTGGTCCTTGTTGACACAGTTTTTCAGGCTGTCGGGGATCCGACCTGGAAGATGTGAGCAGAGCAAGGGAAGTACCCATTAAACAGTTGCCACCGAGGACCCCAGGAGCGCGCCACCCGGCAGGCCCATCCTCTACGCACACTGAACCCCACCTGTCTGGGCACAGTCACCCTCACGGCTCGGAGACCCCCAGCCCCGAGCAGGTGCACCACGTCTGCTAGGCCTGGGGATCTCAGAGCAGCTGACAGGGCCCAGCCTGAGCCTGCAGGGCACCCTGACCTCCCAAAGGAGTGGTAGGAGACAAAACTTGTGCTGAAGCCCCCATAGGGGGAGGGGACCAGGGGCTGACCTCCGTGTTTGGGGTTCTGCCCAAGGCAGGTGCCCCAGCTGCTGCTGCCCCCAACCCCCAGCAACATGCTGGTCTGACACACACTTGGCCGAATGAGCAGGAGACAGGTGCCACCTCCAGCCGCTGGGCCCCTGAGCATCTCAGGGGGACTCCTGTCGGCCCACCTGTGATGGCTCTCCGGATCTCCCGGGCTGCCTCCTCGCGCATCTCGATGGACGCCTGCTCACTGTACCAGGCTGCATGGGGGGTGCAGAGCAGGTTCGGTGCATCCTTCAGGGGTCCCTGGCTAAAACTGCAGACAGCACACGGGTCAGCCACCTGCCTCAGGCCAACGGCCCCATGACGTCAGACCTGCCCATGGACTCCTGACAGCAGTGGGGTGGCCCTGTGGAGGGGTGGGGGGGACACACGCTGCACAGCCCCTCCCCATAGGCTCTCAGACTGGAGACCCTCCCACCACCACCCATGGCTGGCCTACTGCTCTGGACGGGCTTCCTGCTTGGGGCCTTGCACACGCAGCGGCCCATAGATGCAGTGTGTGGCAGGGTCAAGAGCCTCACCCTCCCCTCAGGGGCAGGGTGCTGGGAGCTGTCCTGGCTGTGGTGCTGGCTGCCGCCCACTGAGACCTGGCTGGCCCTGGGATGCTCTGCCCAGCGGGGGTTCACAGGCCAGGCATGTGCACTCCCGCCATGCCCTGGGCAGGGCCTAAGGCCATGCGTGGGCACCAACCAGGCTCCTGACCCGGCCAATAAGGCACTGTCTTGAGGACTGCTCAGGGTGCCGCTGGAAGGCACCTGAAGGGCTCCGACTCGTGCACGTCCAGGGCTGCACCGCGTATCCGCCCCTCCTTCAGGGCCTGGGCCAGCGCTTTCTCATCCACCAGGCCGCCCCGGGCTGTGTTCACCAGGAAAGCCCCTTGTCTCATCTGTGAGACAGAAACACATGAGGAACAGGTCACCAGGAGCCTCCTCACTGGCCCCCCACCCCGCTGTGCAGGGACACAGAGAAAGGGGCCGTGGCAGGACCTCTGCTCCGGGACCCAGACCCCCAGGCTCTGCACGGCAGTGGCCCTGGCTCTCGCAGGCTGGCAGCAGACTCAGGGCACACGGCTGCCACCCCACCTACAGGCCCACCGGCCAGAGCAGACATGCCAACGCTCGGCCCCTCCCTTTATGGGAGTGAGGCATGGGCCGGGCCAGGAGGCTTCTAGTCTGGCCCCACTTTGTACATAGCGCCTGGCAAGGACCTGGGGTCTTGGGGACACAGCATCTGTTGTTGGGCTTGCACCACCTAGCCCTGGACCCCACGCACACCGGGATGGTGGGCCTCGAGATGCGTCCCAAACACCCTGGGGAGACAGAGGGGACCCCAGGGACTCTCCCGTGCAGTGTGGTTCAGTGTGGCCTGGCCAGAGAGCCCCTTCCTGCTGCTGGGCTGCAGCTGAGCCACTCTGCTCCAGCACTGCCGTGTTTGTTCTCCCTGAAAGCCCTCAGACTCAGCCTGCAGACACCGCCCTGCTTTGTGGTGAAGGGCTCCCCCTGCCGTGGTGCTCAGGCACTGTCCCGTGGTCAGTTCTCAGGGACAACACAGTGTCCTGAGTGGACAGAGGGGCTGTGGGGGCAGAGTGGGGGCTCCCTGCACAAATGTGAATGTGCGCACATGCATACCTGCATACACACAAGTGCACGCCAACATGTGTATGTGTATGTAGAGGCATGCACACCATGTAAACATACATGCACATGCCAGGTAAGTAGGCACACGCCCACATGTAAGTGTACACGTGCAGCTGTAGTCATGCCAACACACACACAGGAAGCTGTGCACACACACATCCCCATGCAAACTCACTGGTACCCACATCTGGGTGCCTGTGGGTATCTACACACACACACACACATACACACACAGGCACCAGAAAGGCCTAGAGCCAGTGGGGGGCAGCCCCAGGCCCAGCTTCTGCCCCACCCAGAAACAACAGCTCCAGAACACTGGTGAGTTGTGTGCCACGTCTGCCGCACTCGGCCCAGCCTGTCTGCATGATGCCAATGCCAGCATCCCCCTCACCCAGTATCACAGCAGCCCAAGACCCTAGGACTTCTGTGCCCATCCCACTAGTGGGGACGGCAGGACTCGATGAAAATCTGGTGTCAAAATGCTGGTGCTGTGGCCTCTGCGGAGGGTCCACAGCTCCCAGCACAGGGCTGGCCAAGCACAACAGGCAGGGAGGAGGGCATCCACCCCAGAGGCAGCTGGGGCACCGGGAGGAGCCCACTGTCCCAGACGGTCCCACCAGCCTCAGTGAGCGGCTGCCTGCTGGCCCCATGTGCCGGCCCCGGGCTCCGAGGCCCTGCCCACCTGCTTGACGGTGAAGTCGTTGATGAGGTGGTGGTTGTGCTCGTTGAGGCTGCAGTGCAGCGTAACGCAGTCGCTGTGGAAGAGCAGGTCCTGCAGGGTGCTCACCCGCTGCAGGCCCAGTGCCCGCTCCGTGCCGTCCGACAGGTAGGGGTCGTAGAACAGCACGCTGAAGCCGAAGGCCTTGGCCCGCAGCGCCACCGCCTGCCCCACGCGACCTGGCGGGACGACACTCATGTTACTACCATGGCTGCGCCCAGGCTCAGCCTCCTGTCCGGCTGGATGATGCTCCCGTGCAGCATGGCTCAGCCCAGGGTGACCGTGCCCGGAAGCTGAGCTATGCAGTGGTTGGGCTCCTGTGAGGACGGGTGGGATGGGATGACGGCCACACGGTGAGCGTACAGAAGCCCTGTGGTTAATGGGAGGCGCCCAGGGTGGGGCCCCAGCACCTGGGGGGTGGCGTCCATGCCCCATGGCTCCCCCTGGGGGTGAGCTCTGACCTGTGGGCCAGCAGCTGTGGAGCAGCCCTGGGAGGTGACACGGCTGGCCCAGGACCCACAAGGGGCGGGATACATGGCCACCAAGGCCCTGAGGTCTCGGGCTGGTGCTACTGCCCACGGACACATCACGGCCCAACCCCTGGGGCCCCTCAGGCTTGCTTTGAACGGGGGATGTTAATAAGGAAAGCAGAGGCCAGAAACGCCTGTGGCCCAGAGGCCACCGCAGGAGGAGGTCAGCACCAGTCAAAGCCCCAGGGACCGCCGTGCCCAGGAGGGACCCCAGGTGAAGCCAGAGCAGAACAGTCCTGCTGGCTCCAAACAAAACGCAGACCCGCAGCACTACGAACGAGTCACAACAGCTGTCTTGTGGTACACGGTTCTGGAGCTTGTTACACGGCAAGTGATAACTAGAACCTATACATTCTGCGAGCTGCATTCAGAGTCCCCAGGGGGCAGGGGGAGGGGCTGTGGCCCGTGGACCCAGAGCAGCCCGGGACCTCTGCCCAGTCCCATGGGGCTGGGATGCAGGCCGGCCCGTCCGGTGCAGCCTGGTCAGCCCCACTCAACCTGGCCCTGTTCAGTCTCTTGACCAACATGCCTTAAAGGGGCTGTGGGGCCCCAAAATCCTTAGCCAGGGAAACTCCGCTCCCCGTCTCCCTAGACATCCCCCTGCCTCCTGGCGTCCAACAACCACATGGGCCTGGGCCGGGGAGGCCTGCCTGGAGAAAGCTCAGGAAGCAGTGCGGAGGGGGCCTGCAGGGTGGATCCACGCTGGGGCTGCCCAGGCTGGGGGCATGCCAGGTGGGAGGCAGCTCACAGACGAGAGGTGTGGTGGCACAGGGTGGTCTCAGGACTCCCTGCGCTGCAGGCCCTTCCTTCCCCGCTTGCCCCTGTCCCACTTCCCTTCTAAGTCGGAACCTGCCGCCCTTGCCCCCCAGCCTCTTATGAGGCTGCTGCCGCACACGGGTCACATGGATTTGCGGAGCTTGGCAGGGCCCAGGCAGCTGCTGCCCTCCACCCAGGACCAGTGGGCAGCAGCAGGTCACCAGCCCCAGCCCACAGTGTGAGGAACAGACCTCAGGCCCACCTGGCCCTCACCTGAGGGCCACATTCACTTAGCTGTCACCAGGGTGGGGGGCAGGTGTGTCTGAATGGACATTGAGCATGTGCGAACACACAACCGGGCAAAGGCGCACAGCAGCACGGCCCCGCAGGCACATGGGACTCTGTGAGCATGTGCGTGGCCCCGTGGGCACATGTGACAGCATGTGCGTGGCCCTGTGTGGCTGTGACTATGCTCCTGGGCAGACATGGGCCAGTACAGCCTCTTCTCTGCCGTCCCCAGGCTCAGATATTATCCCTGGTGGGGGGCCATCCCACAGCACAGCCAAGCGCTGGCCTCACTGTCCACCGAGCCCATGCCAGGGGTGAGGTCAGAGCCGACGCACCAAGTCCAATGATGCCCAGGGTCTCCCCTCGGATCCTGGCGGCTCCAGAAGCCACTTCCCGGATCTGCTCGACGCTCTGGACCCGCGTGCCTTCCCGCAGTGCCTGGTGCAGCCAGGTGGTCCTGCGATACAGGCTGAGGATGTGGCACATGGTGGAGTCGGCCGTTTCCTCCACAGACGCCGCCGGCACGTTGCAGACAGCGATGCCTAGGGACACAAGACAGGTGTGGGCGGCCACCAGGACCATCCTGGCACTGCACCGGTGAAAAGACTGGAGGCCCTAGGGAGGCCCCGAGACAAGTACAGGCTCCATGCGCTGTGCCAGCCACGTGGAGGAGCTGCCCGTGGGCCCAGTGGGTGGACGGGGCAGGGCACAGGACAGAGGCCACTGGGGCAGATGCCAACGCCTGGTTCTGCCCTGCTTGGACCACCTACCACTTGACCATCCAGGAAGGGTCGTGCCCAAGCTGGAATCCAGGGCCAGCCCTAGGTGGCAGCCACACCCACACAGGTACCACCCTCTGGCCTCCAGGGCCCCAGGCCCCCTGGGCAGCGGCCACAACAGCAGGCTGGCTCTGGAACACCATGCACTGGCTCCAACTTTGCTCCACACTGAGCCTCAGTGACCCGTTTCTCTCCAAGAGGCCAGGCCGTGCCCACACTGGCAGAAACCACTATGAGCCAGTCCATTCCTGGGCTTCGGCTCCTGTCCACCTGTCTGTCCCCCAAGCCCAGCTCATTTCACTCTCATCCCACCCGGCCGTCTCTGGGTTCCTACAGCCTGCATGAATGCACCCCTGCTTCCTACACACTGTCAGTCTCCCCGATGAGGAGGTGGCCCCAAAGGTCAGGATGGTGTCTGACACCAACAGGGCTGCACAGGAGGACACAGGACAGAGCCCACGCTGCCTTCCCAAAACAGCTCAGCCTGCCATGGAGGGTACGCCCAAGGGAGCCTGGGGGAGAGCCGGTACCCTGCTCTCTGGATCTGGGACAAAACTGCCAGCTGCAGGGCCTGGGGCTTCTGGGTCCTCACCTGCCACTTGGGACAACCATGTTTGAGGGACAGAGCCCCAGCCTGTGAGACCACGGCATGGTGAGGACCGGCTCAGAGCAGGGGACAGAGCCCTGGGAGCCTTCTTGGGGACACTGCTAGTTAAGTGACAGGTGGCAGCACAAGGGGAGAGGGCTCGGCCAGTGAATCGGTGATGGGTGCACAGGGCGCACAGGGGCAGAGGAACTTAAGGACGTGTGACGTCAAACACCGCCCTGCGTCTGCAGCAGACACGATCACGAGAGCAGTTTAACGTCCTGGAGGAGAGGGGAAACCAGACCCTGGAAGCCCTGGTCAGGCATGACCTCCCCTCACTGACCAGGGCCAGCACAAGGAAGCCAAGTGCTGTCTTATTCAGCAAGCATGCCACATGTGCGTGTGGAGGGCCACATGTATGCATGCATATGTGTTCGTGTGCCCTAAGTTGCAGCATAAACTTCCCTACCCCCCCGTCGTGTGGAAGGGCATGCATGAAGCCCCCGACACAGATCCGTGGCTGCCTGCCTGTGCTGAAGCCACTGGAGCAGGGGGAGCCCGGAGCAGGGGGAGCCCCGAGCGGACGCACGCCCAACAAGGCTTCCTGAGACCTCGTGGCTCAAGGGGGATGCACTGCACCCCAACAAGCCAGCCCAGCAGTGCCTTCAAACAGCCCAGAACATTGGCCCTCCCGCAGAGTGAACTCAAGAGACAAAGCAGCAGGTGAGGCCGCCCACGAAGGTCGCCCCCAAGCGGCAGAGAGGAGCCCCGAGGGCCCTACCTAGGTCCCCCGCAGACTTGATGTCGATGTTGTCAAAGCCGCTGCCGATCCGGACAATGATCCGCAGGGCCTTGAACTTCTCCAGGTCTTCCCTGGTCAGCGTGATGGTGTGGTACATGAGCGCACCCACGGCTTCGTTCAGCACCTGTGGGAGGGCGCACAACTGCAGTTCGGCTGGCTCCAGCAGCCCTGCCCGCGAGCGTCCCACCGCCATGTCCCGCTCGCGACAGCCAGGCTCAGCCCTGGTTCAGACCTGTCAAGGTCAAGGAAACCAGGGCCCCACCCTGTCTCCACCCACTCAGGAGGAAAGATACTGCCTGTCAGCACTGGACCCCGGGTGGGCGGGACATGCTGAGCTGTGAGAGGATATGAAGCGCCCAGAACCCCCAGACCCTGCCTTGGGGTCACTGGCAAACTGCTGCCAGACCAGGAACTGCAGAGTGAGCCATGCACGTGGGCAGTCGTGGGGGGCTAGTTCCGTTCTCCTGGGGACGGAGGTCTGGACACCGAGCACTCCATGGGCAAAGGCCCCATGCCTGAGGGCGGAGCAGAGGCCACACCTACTGTCCCGGCCAGGGGCCCAGGGCACACTGCACACTGTACTTGCCCGGGAGGCCGCCCCAGCTCCCATGAGCACCCCTGGGGGCGTCAGGACAGGGTGGGACTAGGTCCACGAAGGTTCCACAGGTCGGACCCGGAGCACAGTGGTTTCGGCATGGCCCTGCACATGCTCAGGCTGGCCAGGCTGGCTGCAGCCTCCACAAGGGACCCCCAGGCCCACTGGGTGTCAGGGTGCTGTCTTTGTGCCTCCTGGGAGCATGGCTATGGGCCAAACCCCCACACTGGTGCAGAAGCCCACACAGACAGACGGTGCCAGCATCTCCAGATCATTTGGGTGACACTGAGGAACCCGCCACTCCTTTGGTAAAACCGTGCAAGGGGGCACAAACCTCCCCACTGACAGGCTTTACCCGCTGCTGCACCCAACACAGGGCCCTGCCCCATGGGGCCTGCCTGCAAGGGGGCTGCAGGGGGCTGCCCTGAAGAAAGCCCGCTGTGGCCTCGCCCCCCACCCCCACCCAGGCACCTGCAGCGGAGCTGGCACCCAGCATTCCGACCAAGGCCCCGGGACCCTGCCAGAGCGGGCCGGCCACAGCAGCGGTGGCCCCGAGGGGCAAACCTAACTCTGTGGGGAGACATGTCGGTAGGGGGACCCACGAGGTCTGCGGGGATGGCACCTCCCGCCTGGCTCTGTCGGGGTGGTGCCCACACCTGACCAAGGGCCTCATGGGGCCCTGTGGGGTCTGGAGGAGGCAGAGGCTAAAACAGGCTCTGTGGATCCCAGGCCAGGGGGGTGGGGGTGGACAGCCCACCCGCACAACCTGCGGGGCCACTGGGCATCACGCATGAGAAGTGAGAAGCCTACAGCCGCCGGCAGGACCTAGACTTGAGGCGGTCAGGTGGGCACACTTGCCAGCTGTTCTGCATGTGGGACCCAGGGCTGGAGGGGGCGATGCACAGGGAGACGCCGGCCACCCTTTCTTCTGCCATGACCTAGCCTCCACATGGCACCTTGCAGAAAGGTGGCTGAGTAGCAGGGCAGAGGGGGCCTGGGGTCTGAGGGTGCCACCTACCCCTGCTCCTGTGCTGAAGGCATCTCAGCTCCCGGAAGCCAGAGCACTGCTGAGATGTATCAGCTACTGCCCACGTCTCTGCCCTCTGCAGCGGGTGTTGAGGCCACCCAGGAACACTGACCTCTGGGGTAGCTGGTGTGGAGAGCTGATTAGCAGCACCCATGAGAGGCAGAGGGGATTAACCAGGAGTTCGGAGGGTGGACAGGAGGTGTGCACACAAGGGGCAGTGGTTGTGGTGGGGGCCACAGCTGAGGAGTGAGGGGAGGGCTCAGCTGGTGAGACCCTGAGAAGACTCTTCTGGCTGCCCTGTTCTGTGTGACCCCAAGATGGAAGGGCCACAAGAGCCAATGAGGGATCCCTGGGGCAGGTGAGGCAAGGGACTGTCGGGGCGAGTTGCACGCAGATGTTTGTCAGTGCCCACTGTGGGCAGGCATGACCATGTGCTAGAAATGCAGAGAGAGGGACGCCCATCTGAGCATTAGGAGAACCCTGGACTCAGGACAGATGCATCGTGCAGAGGGAGGCACCACGGTGGGCCTGGGTCTCTGGCCCCCACTGAGACAAGCGTGCAGAGGGGGCTCGGCTGTGGACAGGCTGGACAGGCAGCCCCTCAAAGCACGGGCTCGTGTGTGAGGCTGTCAACAGATGGCTTTTCACTGTGCATTTACCTAGGGCAGAAAACAGTCCTCAGATGGTGCCTGTGGGTTGTCCCCTGCTACATCCTGACATGGGCAGTCCATGACTTGTCTGAATGTGCCCTGCTCTCGGGGCGTCCGGGCTGCTTCCAATACCAGCAGCACACTGACCAAACCCTGGGACTTGCTTATTCCCTCGAGGTGAGTTCTCAGAAACGGAAACTATGGGTGTGGGTCAGAGCCTAAGGCCCGGTGCTGCCGCGGCCCCACAGGCAGGCAGGGTCCGTGCACCCGACACGGGGCGTGCGGGGGTCTGAAGTGTTACGCTGGTGGGTGTGAGCCAGCACTGTGGTTGGAATGTTAATTTGTATTTGAGTGTGACTTGCCCACGTCTGTTTCTTGGAAAATTATTTTTTACACGTTTTAGTCCTTTTTCTACTGTGATCACATGGTACTAGAGCATTCCCAGAATAGGAACCTGATCCCTACTCAGAGACCCCCCCGGCCCTGTGCCAGATGGGCCTGCACTCAGCTGCAGGACGACGGCCAGCTGTCCGGGGTCTGCCGACCAGGGCCACTGGGCAGTCCCTGCCTCCAGGAACCCTCCCAGGCCTCCTCGTGGTCACAGAGGGGCTGTGACAGCCTGGGTGCTGCTCAGCCTCCCAGGGAGGAGGCCTGCAAGAGGCCCAGGGCCGAGCCTGGCTCCTCAGGTTGGGACCCGGCAGCTGCCCCAGCAGGTATCCTCTCCTGTCCCTCTGTACCAGCTGTGTGGCTGGTCCATAATTTAACCTGGCACCAACTCCAGAATAGGGGTAGTATGGGGCCAGTTTGTGGGCACCTCTGGTCACAGCCCCCGGGTGCTCCTGGTTCACAGTGGGGCCTGAGGGGTACTCCCAGGGCACCCCTGAAGGAAAGCCAGCCTGGTCCGTCAGGAAGGTGCCAGCTGGTGGCTGGCCAAGGCATACACCTGCTGTAACCTTGAGGGAGCCTCTGTTCCCTCCATCCTGTCCTGCCTCTGGGCACGCAGTCTTGAGCTTCCAGTGACTTCCACTTTGCACATGCAGGTGTGGCTGACTCTGTAGCCGTTGCTTAGACAAGGCCACCGACACACTCTCAAGTGGCTCAGGAGCTTCTCTAAGACAAACAGCTGCACGAGAGCCCAGGGGGGAACGCTGGGCTACAGACTGCGGGCCTGAGGTTTTCACAGGCCCGCTGAAGCGCCGTCAAAACCAGAAGTGACCGCATGTGCCCTGCAAGCACCTCGCTGTGGGCTGAGGGCCAGGGGACCCTGGTGTCTGGGAGCGCCTGGGGACAAGCCCCACCTGTTTCTGTCCAGACGCCCCTTTCCATGCCCGTTTCTGCAGGTCAGCCCTCCCTTGGTTGGTGGAGACTGAACACTGGTGTCCACACCTGTCGCTGACGCCCCCCCATCTCTGCTGCTTCCATGTTGTTATTTCCTGTGCAACACAATTCTCTGACTGCTTCCTTCTCAGATGGTGTTTTCCAGTACACGGCCCATTTCTGTGCGCCTTGCCGCCCTCTGTTCTACTCTGCCTTGAAGATAGTATTCACACCTGGGCCCTCCTGGAGCACAGCAGGTGTGCAGCCCTCCTGGGCATGCAAGGGTGGGCGCATGCACCATCTAGCCCCCAGGACTCACAGCTCATTAGCCCTGTGTCCACTGACTGAAAGCCGCCTTCCATATACTCAGGTCCCCCAAGGTGGGAGCTGTTTCAGGGTCTCTGTCCCATCCACTTAGGAGGAACTGACACTACCTGGCTTTCTGCCTCACAGTGGATGCGGCCACTCTCCGCCACCCCACCACTTGCTACAAAGCCTGTCTGCATTCTCCTGGCTTTTAAAATTCATTTCTTACACAGCCCTAGCTCCTGCCTCCGTCTGGCAAGATGCCTGCCTTGAGCACATCCCCCTCACCCTCGCACCTCTGCAGGAGCCCCATCCCCTCTATGCCCCTCTGGGACTCCCTGTGACCACAGTGATGGAAGCCAGTCCTTTCTTCAAGGCTGTCCTCATTTCACAGATGCCCATCCAAGAGGGGACCTGAGAAAATGCCTCTGCCATCAGATTAGCAGTTGGATCGGATGTGCTCCAGGTTGAAATCGTTTTCCCCAGAAGCTTTAAAATGCCCAGTGCGGGTCTGGCCCGATTCCCGTCTTTGTGGAGGACATTCCCCACCCTGGCACTGGTGAAATCTGGACTCTTGGCAGGGAGTCTCGTGGGCCCCCTGACATCTGTCCTGGATCCACAGAAAGAGAACTGGAGTCTCTATTTAGCTCTGGAAGTTTTCTTCTTCACTGTGGTAATAACACCAGGCTGTCCTTCTGGAACTTAGATGACATCCAACTCTACCAGCTGAGAGGAGGCAGAAGCCCCTGGTCAATAGTGACACCCAACCCAGGCCGCTGCTTCCCCCACCCCACCCCCAGAGGCCCCACGTCAGCTCCAGGACCGCCACGGCACCAGGCTCCTGTCTTGCTGCTCCACCATTCCCAAACACAGTTTCCTCTCATGTGCCAGGAGGCTGCTGAGGCTTCGGCCATTGTATCTGGCTTCCAGCCAGCAGAAACACGGAAGTTTACTGTGCACACGAAGCCTGCTCACCACCTCCTGGCTGGACCTCATCACTTGGCTGCCCCCAGCAGCAAGGCCTGGGAACCGGCTTGTCCAGGACTCTGTGTCCACTGTGAGTGGGAGACTCCAAGGGCCCGGCCACACCGCATGCCAGGCAGGGTCCAAGCCTCCCTCCGTTTCCCTCACCATTTCCCTCTTTCTTCTGCGCGTCCCCTGACTGTGCCTTCCAAGCTTCCTAATAAAGTTTAAGTTTTTCACTCACGTCTTTAATGTCCAAGAGCCCCTCCCAGGTCTCTGGCGATCCCTCCCTTGCGGTGCGCTGCTGGCCCTACGACTGGGCGCACTGCAGATTCAAGGGGACCTAACACTCTCTTCTGTCCAGGCATAAATTCTGTCCTTTGGGGCGGACTTCCTCTGCGTTCACCTGTTCTGACAGGCGGTCCCCATACCAGCCCCGGCTTCTGCAGAGACGGCAATCTTCCCGTTGGGTCGGGGCAGTCTGCTCTCACGCTGGGGGCCTGGGGCCCTGTGCTTCCAGGGTATCTTTAACCTGTTCGTTTCAGTTTTAATTACAATTTTAGAAGAAAACATCTTTTTTTTTTTTTTTGAGAGGGCCTCTCTCATATTCATTGATCAAATGGTTGTTAACAACAATAAAATTCTGTATAGGGGACTCAATGCACAATCATTAATCAACCCCAAGCCTATTTCTCAAGTCTCCAATCTTCTGAAGCATAACGAACAAGTTCTTACATGGTGAACGGTGCAAGGGCAGTCATATCACAGAAACTTGAAGAAAACATCTTTGTCTTACTTTTCATATTCATTAGCTAATATTTTAATATTGTTTATGATTTTAAAAACATGTATCTGTATTGTCTTTCATTGTGTATTTAGTTTTTCCAAAAATTATCTGTTTAGTCTGAAATAGTTTAAGATTCATAGGAGGTTGCCAAGTATCACAGAGACATCCTGTGTGCCATGGCCTAGCTCAGCAATGCTGGGTACGTGACCAGGTGCCTTCATGTGCCTTCACAGATTTCTCCATCTTTTCCTTATACTTGTGTGTGCATGGGTGTGTGCATGTGGGGGTGTGCACAGCTCTTTGTAATTTCATCATGTGCTGATTTGAGCAGCTACCAGTACAACAGGACCAGGATCTCGCCACTGCAACCAGGACAGCCTCCCATTCACTCGCCGTTCTCTGCACCCTCCACCTGAACTCCCAGCAACTGTGTCCACCCTGTGGCCTTGCTGGAGGAAGAACAGGACACGGCACGCAGCCCTGGATGGTGGCTTTCTTCACATAGCATGACGTCTCCACATGCCTACTGATGCTGCACAGATCACTGCCCCTCCTGACATGCACTGGGACTCTGGCGTGTGCACACATCAGAGCTGAAGGCCATCTGGGCTTTGCCTGGTCCAGCTGTCGGAGTAAAGCTGCCGGGCACACTCACAGCTGATGTTCATATGCATGTGGGTGCCAGTTCTCCAGCTGAATCCATCAGGGTGGCCATAGGGCACACCATAGGCACGCCGCAGGAGAGAGCCCAGCTGGTAGGAATGCACTGGCGCTCTCCGCAGGGCCTGCCCTTGCCCCCATCCACTGTTGTCTCCCCCCGGTCTTGGGAAACTGTCAGCCTGACCTCTGCAAATGCTGCTTCTGGCTTCTCCCTCCTCCAAGACTTCAGCTAGAAGCCACATGGCCCCCTGGGGCCTCATCCATGCCCTCTGTCCTGTCCTGGGTCCCTGCCCCTGGCGCCTACTGGCAGGGGACCTATCCGGTAAATGGTCCCTTTCAGCGTTGCCACTTTTCAGCCCTAAGTCCTCTACATTCCCTGCAGCTCTGCTGCACCACCTTCAGAGCCATCAGGCCCTCGTCAGACGCTCAAGCTGGGCCTTCTCTCTCTGGCAATGTGGGCATCCTGGCCAGCGCCTCGCAGGCTCCCGACAGCTCCCAGGCCTGCCCCGGTCTGTGTCTGCTGGTTTTCACTCACAGTTCTCATCTCCTCTGCACCCAGGATCCCTGGCTGTGTGATGGATGCTGTACTAGAGAGTTGTCTGTATAGAAGTCTACATTGAAGGTATCTTCCTCAAAAGAGGACCATCCATGGTTTCTGCCAGGTGTCCGGGGCATGGAGGTACAAGGCCACCAATAATCCAAGTTCAAGGCTTGATGCAGCTGCTCACAGGCTGGACGATGGACTGTGGGGGGCCTGTTTGGCTCTAGTTTGTCCTTTCTCGGGGGTCCCACCCCAGAGCCAGGGGTGGTCTGGCAGGGCCCAGCAAGCCCGTAGGGCTGCCAGCCACCTCTTGCTAAACAGCAGACACTTGAGAGCCACACCACCGGGCCTGCCCGGCCCTGTGGATTTCGCTTCCTCTGGTCCTGTCAGCTCCTGGAAGCTCTGAGGCTCCCGAAGGCCTCCTCCAGCTTCCTCAGCCACGTGCGGGAAGCTGCACAGTTGGCTGTGACCACAGAAACTGGGTGAATGCACTTCACACACAGGGACCCAGGTGATCTGAGAACACAAATCGTGAGAAATGCCCCAAAGCTCTAACCGCTAGGAAGCAAAAGCTCCGGGTGCCAGCACTGCCCCTGCGGCCCCCAGCACTGCCCCTGCGGCCACGCCGCTTGCGGCCCCCAGCACTGCCCCTGTGGCCACGCCGCTTGCGGCCCCCAGCACTGCCCCTGCGGCCACACCGGGGCTCTGCCGTCTGGGAACACTGGCGGTGGCAGGGAGGATTCAGGATGCCAGAGCAAATCCTGCCCCCACCTGACGGCCAGCTGGGGGCGACCTGGGGCTCGTCCCACGGGGGCAGGCCGCTGAGGAGTGTGCCTCAGTGTCTCCTGCTTGGGCTGCGGCCCTAGCGACCAGCCCATGCCCGGCCTGCCACCCTCCTTGCCGCTGCACATGCCCCTGCACAGTTACCTTCTCGTGGATCTCCTGTGTGGACTGCGCGTCACAGAAGGCCACCGTGGCCACGTCCTTCAGGATGGGCATCTCCACTGTGCAGTCCCGGCCATCAAGCAGCGCCACTAGGGGCCGGGGGTGCATGGGCCCATTCATGATCGGAGGTCGGACGCCTGCAGAGACAGGAGGGGATGCTCAGCCCCCTGCGGTGTGCCCCGTGCCCCCACCTCCCACCACCAACTGCTGAGAACTTCATGCCCTGAATGTCCGGTCACCAGGTTCTGTGCCAAAAGTAAGTTAAAAACCAGTGGGAAAAGCACCTGGGGTTTGCTGCAGCTCACTGACGCCAGAATGGACATGGTGTTGGCCATCACCGTCCCCGACTGGGCACGAGGTCTCAGAGACCCGTGGAGACCCCGGGGCGGCCCACGGAGGCGGGGGGCAGGGGCCATGCAGCTCCAAGCTCTGTCCCAGAGCAGAGTCTTCACCACTTTGACGCTGGAATATGCAGACTGTGACATAACGGGCTTCGGGGAAGCACCCACGTTTTTTGCCCAACACAGCCCAGAAACCTGGCAGGGACCACCCCCAGTGTGCAGCGTCTTTCTTACTTGTAGATCTGAAAGGGCAGGGGCAGTGAGAGGCAGGGACGGGTAAAACACGGGTGAAGCCAGCACCCTTCCTTCTCAGGGCAGAAATGGCTCAGAATGACCAAACAGCAACTCCTGCAAGTAGGAGGCAACTGCCTCATTTTGGGCCACAGTGGAGACACGAGGGCTTCACGCGCAACACACAGAAGGCAGCTACCAGGACCTCCCTGGGCCCTGCGCTCGGCATGCCAGGCCACCCAGCCCCGGGGCCGCAGACTCGCCAGGGACCAGCCACGCAGCCTCAGGTGGGCCCCAGTCGGCACAAGGGGCAGCCCCAGGTGCGGGGGAGCCAGGGAGAGGGGCAGCCGAGCTGGACCCCACCGCCACAGCTGTCTGCACGCAGGGCAGAGAACCAGGGCAACCGCCCAGTCGGCGCACAGCGTGGGGCTCCCAGGCCAGGGCACCCCCCTCGCTCCCTCGGGCGCCGGAGGCCCCAGGCCCGCCCGCCCTGCCTGCAGCATGGCACAGTCACAGGCACCAGGTACAGTGCCATCACTGTCTCCACAGCTCTACTTGGAGAACAGCGACTCTTCACCGAACAAGCTTATTTCAGCAGGTGGAGGGTCCATTGTTGCCATGTTCGAGGGAGCTGATAAACCTACACTCAGCGTTCCTCGGGCCCCGAGGACAGCCAGGCGCCCACAGGAAATCTCTCGGTGGGGGTACGCTGTGGCCCAGTGGGGAGTGGCTGATGAAGCGCCATCCCAGGGGCTGCCACACACAGAGCTGGCCCTCCCAATCCACCGAGGCCCTGGCTGCCCAGGGAGGACTGGGCCTGCCCGCCGCACGCTGTGGCGGGTCCCCGCAGTAGCCTAACCCCGCGCTGAGCTCGCAGGCGCAACGACCCGGCCAGGCGGGGGAGCCGCACCTTCAGACCACCCTTGCCGGCCACCCCAAGGCCTCTCCCCAGACACACAGGTGGCACACGTGAGGCCTGAGGCCTGTACCCGCAGCCTCAGCCTGGGCCCGGAGTCTTTCCCAGAAACACAGGGAAGCACTCCAGGCCGGGCCCAGGCTGAGTGAGCGGACAGTAGGGCCACGCGCGCCCGCAGCACCCCCGTGCAGGCGTGGAGGCCCAGCTGCAGTGGCTCCATGCTCCTGAAGCCCTACCAACCTGACATTGCTTAATATGGGCTCGGCTTCTGCGACCATGAATTCGACTTTCAAAGCGTTTTATCTTCGGAATCCCAGGCAGAACCGCGTCCTGTCACTGGATCCTCATCCCACGTCTTTAACTGTCTCGAACCAAAGCTCTTAGGCTCCTGATCCACGGCGACCGCCGAAGCCTGTGCCGGGGTCAAAGTCTGACTAAAAATTAAACACAAGAGACATATTAAAATAGTGCTGAGAACTCATGTTCAAGCCCAGAGGCAGAGCTCTTCCTCGACCAGCTGTGGCTCTGGGCTGGGACCCACCTGGAAGCGGCGCCTTCCCTGTCGGGCACAGCATCCCCTCCACATGCCTGGGAGCCCCACAGGCTGGGAGGCAGGGGGACCGGGGGCAGGGCTGTGGCCAGTTCTGGAAGGTTCCAGCTCATGTTGCCAGGAGCTCCTGCACCTGTGACTGGGCAGGGGGCGGGGCCACAAGAGGCCAACCTGCCGGCAGGGGCCCCACATGGGGCTTCGCCCATGCCTACCATCCATGCCCACCCTGCAGCCAGCACTGGGCGCAGCGTGGCCTCCCCAGAGCTGCACAGCTCTGCTGAGGGGCAGGCGACTGGAGACCATGGCCAGGGCCCAAGGGCACGCACGGCAACCCACCCATCAAGGACCCAGGATGAAGAGGCTTCAGGGGTTGTGAGCGAGCACCACCCAGGGACCAGCCAGGGCGCAGCCGGGCACCACGCAGACAAGGACCTGCAGCCCATGGGTGTGCACTGGGGTAGACTGCGCGAAGCAGGGGCTCCTGAGGAAAGAAAGCTCATGGGCATGGAGGGCAGACATGCTGACCCTGCCCACTGCCGGCCACAGGGAGATGGGTGGCCTGTGGAATGTGCACAGCCCGCATCCTTGCCTGCCCCTCGGGGAAAACACAGGCCTTCCTGGGACCCAGTGGCCAGAGCTGATACTCAGAGAGTGGTCACTTCACGCAGAGCTGGCGGGCAGGCGCCCTGCTGCCTGACCTGTGCACCTGGGCTGGGCTCAGACGGCCCTCACAAACAGCGCCTCCAGTCTCCCCAGGTGCGAGCGCCCAGAGCTGTTTCTGCCCCTGAGGAGAGACATGCTTCATACCCCAGAGCTAGGGCATGCCTAAGGCCTCTGATGATGTGGCCCAGCTGCGCAGGGGCAGGAGGGCAGCCACACAAGGCTGGGAGTCCAAGATGCTGCTGGCCACCCACCCCCTGACGGCTGCAGTCAGGACGTCCTGCCAGCTTTCTCCGTGGGTTTCAAGCCCCCACGCCAACCCTGCCACCCAGGAGCTGGGGACGCCAGACCACAGGGGACATGGTGCACAGCTCCCTGCCAGTGAGAGCCCTATCCTCACAGGTCTTCCTCCCTGCGGTGGGCTCCCATCAGGCTACCCCTGCAGAGGGCGTTGGGGCCACACTGCAGAAGAAAGGGGTCCCAGAGGCTGGGGCCGAGGGCCAGCCCGGGTCTACACTGGGCCTCAATTCCTCCTCAGTCCCAACACTGCCCGTTGCTGCCCAGTGACTGCAGGGCAGTTCCAGCCTGGCCAGGTGGGCACCCGGCTCTGCTGTCGGGCTGTGGCGCCCCCACCCCCCGGAGCCATGGCCTTCCTCAGTGGAGGCCAGAGGCCTTTTCTCACAGCTGCCCCTCAGCCACAGCTGAGGGCACTTCGCGGGTCGGGGGTGACACGCTCCGTCCAGGTCTCACCCTCAGGGCCCTGCCCCACCCTCGCTGTGCGACCTGGGCCCTCTGGACTCGTGTGGGGCTTTCCCCACAAGCTCACGGCCACACTCGCCCCAGCCACACGACACGCATGGCTTGGGAAAACCCCAAATGGTAACCGAGTGTTTCACAGTTCAAACAACCTCCTGCCTTTAACATTGTCCCACAGAGAATGTACTTGAGTCATAAGACAGCAGACGTAGCTTCACACCCCAGAAACGAAGGCAAGGCCTCCTGGGGACACCCTGAGGAGCCCTCCGGGACCCTCTGTGCCTGTCCTCTGGGCGGGGGCAGCAAACTAGCCACTGAGCACACAGGCCACCACCACGACTCAGGCCCCGCACGGGGCAGGTGCACAAAGCTCCCAGGTCCTGGCTAGCTCAGCAGGATGCCCTCTGGGCCTGCGAGCACCTGGCGCAGAAGCCCCGAGGGTAGGCCTGCAACTGAGCGCCAGCCCTCCTGCCGGCACAGGCTGAGCATCACTTTCCAGACCGCAAGGGAAGCCCTGCTCCCCAGCTCCTGCTGAGGCGAGGGAGGTGAGGCAGTGGGCCCCCACCCCGCGGCCACAACTGGCAGAGGCAGGAAGGAGTAACAGAGCCCAAAGCCTCATCAACTCCATTACCTCCCCATGCTTCCCACTTCCTGACGGTGGCCCCAAACTTACTCCAAACAGATCAGAGGCAACTGCACAGGTGGCCAGCGGCTCAGCCCGATGCCTGCCCTCCTCCTGGAAGGCACAGGGAACCCCACTTGCAGGCAGTGCATGCAGGGTGGCGGCAGGACCGGCCACAGCAGCTGTGGTGGCAGGGTGCTGTCTCTTCCCAAGGCCCAGAGACACAAGGCAGTGAGGGTGTCCTCACGAGGCCTTCGCACGTCCTTCACTCCAAGCCCTGACCAGTCAGCATGACCACACCCCTGCTACACACTCAGTGGCTAACTTGTGACCCTGCCTTCCATAGAGGCAAAGCTCACCGCCAAAAAGGTAGCCAGCACTTTCACAGCCGTGGTGAGGTCGGCCAGGCCCCTCGGGTGCTCCAGGCATCTCCTCTATGCTCTCCCGTGCCCGCCACTCATCTTTTTGTGAAAATGATTTCAAAATGAAATGCGTGACCTAGGTTTCTAAGCTCACAGGTGGATGGAGGAGCCAGAGGTGTGTTCCCACGCTCTGCTGCCAGGGACAGCAGGTGCCCTGCCCAGGGGCATGCGAGGCACTACAGGCAGACGGCTGAGCCTGGCTCTCACCTCCCTGGCCCGACACCCCTCACTGTGCCCTGGATGACGGCAACTACCAGCGTGAGCCACATCGAGCAGTTGTGTGGACACAGAAACATGACCATCCCATCATGCTTGAGAGAGCAACCTAGCCACATGGCTGCAGGAAGCTCCTATGCTGGCATGGGGGGGCGTTCCTGGGACGAGAACACTGAAGCCCACCGATTAGCCAAACAGAAACCCCCATAAGAGATCTCACTGCTCAGACTCACAACAGAGCCGCCTGAACACAGAAAGGGAGGTGGGGCCAGGGCTGGGGTGCAAATACAGGGTCAGTGGGCAGCTCCAGGGACCATATGGCCACCACTGCCCCAGCCAGGTTCGCTGTCTGCCACCAGTGTCTTTGCTGGGAGCACTTTCACCATGTAATTGGCCTCAAGGCACTTTTACTGTAAAAAATAAAATCACAAATTTTAAAAGAGGGTATTTGTTAAGGACAAAATCAAATACGAGAAGTCAATAAAATTAAAAAGTCTTCATTGCAAAATACAAAATATTTGAACATACTACAAGTGTACAGTGTAGATTCATGCAATACTGCCCAAAACTGGCTGTAGTTAGCAGCTGAAACCAGGCGCCTGTCTTCGGTCTGGTTCAGGGTAGTTAGCGGCTGTAACCAGGCGCTTGTCTTCAGTCTGGTTTACACCATCATGTTTTCTATGGTCATTGATCCACCTCCTCATTTGGCATAACATTTTTTCCTTTTTTAATTAAAATTCTTCCTTCATGAAGGGGATTTCTCTTTCCAATACTGGGGGCCCCTTGTGCCTGTGCCCTGCCTGGTGCTGGGAGAGCCATCCATGCTGTCTGCTCAGCACATTGTCACACGTCTGCTGGCAGATGTCCCAAAGTTCTACATGAAACTGGAGCTCAGACTCCGTGCTAGCTTGTGAAGCACTGTAAGGCTAAGACTCACATGGTATAAACATGGAACCCACATCCAGGCAGAGACGCAGCCACGTGTCTGGCAGCCAACGAAACCAACAAGCTCCCAGCCCGTTACCCTGACAGCCAAACAGCTAGCTAGCGAACACACCTGTGGCTTCCCAGAGGCTGCACTGCCAAGCCCCCAACCCACGGTGGCAGACATGAGCCCATCACGCAAAAGCTGGCAGGGTCTGCAGCTGGCATGGAGCCCCAGAGCCCCTCCCCAACCTCATCCCTTCCCAACAGCTGAGCCGGGGGGGCAGTGCATGTGGCTGGTGTGGGCTTGTGTCCAGAAGACCCCCATTCCAATCACGCCTGCCCCACCCCTTCCCAGAAACTGGACTGAGTCCGGGAGTGTGGGTGGGTGGATGCAGGGCTGGTCCCTTGCAAAGGAACTGTAGTGACAAGGTAACAGGACCTGCCTAGCCTCCTTGGTGACCCTGGTGAGAGATCCATCCTGAGGAGCAGGCAGCCGGCACCACAGGGCAGTGACTCCATTCCCTCAAGCAACAGGGGCCACGGGGGAGCACGAGCAGGTCGTTTCATGTTCACATTCAGCTGCCCCCGGGTTTCTGGCCTGTAGGAATCCTCCCTCGGACTCAGGGCTCTGCACACACAGGACAGCCCACCCAGTCCTGACTGGGCCCCCGGCATGCCCCACAACCTTTCCACCATTCACAACACATCTGTACTCCTGTCCTCCCCCATCCCACTCCCCACACCTGGGTCACTGCACAGTGGGGC